CATTTTCTACTTCTTTTTAGTTTGATTATCTACAAGAGAATGCTGCCTGTAGGTGTTTCTTCAGTATTCTTCAGTATTCAGTATTCTACTATTTATTTTCTATTTATTAGTTCGGCTAACTAAAAAAGTTTTTATATTTTCTGTAAGTACCCAATTTTGACGCAAGAATCATATTCTCCGACCCCGGAAATCTCTAAATACTAATTTTTAATAGAATCGGATCATGATTACAAAACCCGTTCGCCATATTGGATCGGCCATCTTGAATTTTCAGATGTTGACGAGAGATTCATAATCTCCGACCTCGAGAACCCACATATACCAATTTTGAAAAGAATCGGATCATATAATTACAAAACTCGTGTACCATATTGGATTCGCATCTTGATTTATTTTTTTAATTTTGACGGGACAATCATACTCTTCAATCCCAAACACCCCAGATACCAATTTTCAATAATTACAAAAATCATCCGTCATACTGGATCCGCCATCTTGAATTTTCAAATTTTGACAAAAAAATCATGATCTATGATCCCGAAAACCACCATATACAAATTTTGAATAGAATCGGATCATATAAATCCAAAACTAGTCCACCATATTGGATTTGCCATCTCGATTCTTCAAATTTTGACGAAATAATCATAATCTCCACTCCCCGAAACCGCCAGATACCAATTTTTAATAGAATCGGATCATAATTACAAAACTCGTCATATTGGATCCGCCATCTTGAATTTTCAAATGTTGATGGAGGAATCATAATATATGTCCCCGAAAACCACCAGATATATGTTTTGAATAAAATCGGATCCTAAATACAAAACTTGTCCGCCATATTGGATTCGCCATCTTGAGTTTTCGAATTTTGACGGAAGAATCATTATCTATGATCCCGAAAACCACCAGATACAAATTTTGAATAGAATCGGATCATATAATTACAAAACTCGTCCTCCATATTGGATACGCCATCTTGATATTTTCAATCCAAGAATCATAGTGTCCAATCCCTGAAACCACCAGGTACCAATTTAAAATAGAATCGGATCATAATTTCAAAACCCGTTTGCCATATCGGATCTTGAATTTCGAAATTTAGATGGAAGAATCATAATCTCCGACCCCGAAAATCCCCAGATACTGATTTTTGACAGAATCGGATCATGATTACAAAACCCGTCCGCCATATTGTATGCGCCAAAACCCCCCAGATACCAATTTTGAATTGAATCGAATCGTATTATTACAAAACTCGTCCACCATATTGAAAAATCCTGATCTACGACCTCGAAAACAACCAGAAACAAATTTTAAATAGATTCGGATCATAATTACAAAACTCTTCAAATTTTGACGAAAGAATCATAATCTATAACCCAGAAAACCACCAAACACAAATTTTTAATAGATTCGGACCATAGTTACAAAACTCGTCTGCCATATTGGATCTGCCATCTCAAATCTCCAAAATTTTTGTGAGTTAAAACATTTCAAGTATGGCATTGTTCATACTTACAAATACAGTTAAATGGTAGCAGAATGCGAAACGAAAAGACAAGGGTTAATGTAATGATAAAATAGCTTGATTCACTGATGCTATTTGAATTTGAACAGGAGCTGGAAATTCGTCAGTGTTGTGATGAGACATTACTGTTTGCACTTTATTAAACTTTTAGTATTTACCGATACATTGTTGATAACGCCCGGGTCATCGGTGCATTTTCGTATAGAGGTAAGTAGTTGATTTCAATCGGCCTATTTTGGTCTATAGTTCACTCTGTAAAATTTATGGTACGTTGTTCTGAGACACCTTGTATAAGACTATACTCTGGATGAATCCATAATTTAATTCGAATTGATTTTTGTAATCGATTCATCAATCGGGGAGACCTCACACGCGGAAAATATAACGAATGGTCGTATACATTACCATTTTGTAACAGGAGATCCCGTTATTTTAGCTGAGGGATAAAAAAAATACAGGAAGTATCTCCAACGTTCGCTTACATTATGTACCGAACTAATACTGTGTAGCGGCGTATAGTGCCATTAATTTGAATACGAGTATTCAAGATGTTTTTCCCACATTAATGGTTATAAACTGTAATCGATCGGCTGCCTTATACGGAGTATTCGGTAAATAATGCCTCGAGCGACAAAAAAACTCGTATAAAAAACTATACCCACAATAAACAGAAACTCAAATGATGTTTCACTACGTTGAGAAAAAGAAACACAAAACAAGAAGTCCTTACAACGTTATTGGCCGAAGCTGAGAATATTGTTAATAATCGGCCTTTGACATATTATCACCCCCAACCACTTTTTGATCGGAACCTCAAGTGCTTCAAAATCTCCAGGTTCATTTGAAAATCGTAGAATAGACATAACAAAGAAGTGGAGATATGCACAAAAATTAGCGGATCATATTTGGCACCGGCGGATTCGTCAATACCTACCCACTGAAATGGTATAGAGATGGTCATCCCAGATATCCCTTGAATGTAGGAGATTTGGTAGTAATTTGTGACAACAGAATGCCAAGAAACAATTGACCTATGGAAAAAATCATTGCTAAATACCATGGTGCAATCTGGGGTTTACCGAAGACCGGCCACGAAATTATGTCAAATTTGTTGAAAGTGGTCGATGACTTTTCTTAGAGGGAAGAATGTTTTTATTTGATTTTATTCAGAATACTCTGTAGTTCTATATTTTTGAAATCCCCTTGTATTTGATGAGATTTTGGCAGTTCTCAATAAAGTGAAATTTTTGGGGAAAAGTCAGTAATATTCAAGAAATAGACGAATTTCTCAACGAATAATTTATTACTGAACACACTTGTGCTTGAAAGGCATATCACTTTAATTATATTCCTTCATTTAGAAAAGACGATTGGAAAAACCATTTTTCCATTATGATTCGATGATATAATGTGCAAGCAGTATATTAGTGAAATACAGGGTGTGAATGAACAAGTTCAGGGGATGATTCCTCATATTCAAGTACCTAATGAAAAAACTGAAAGGTATAAACTCGCTTTGTTTTCGAGATACAAGGTATCAATATTTTTATAAAAAAATCGTATTTTTATTGATAACCTAAACGTCATTTTGACAATTTGATTTGAAGTTGTTGGTTTTGTTAACAGTGATATCAGTGATATGAACACAGAACTCAAAAACCTAGAAGGCCGATATTGTACTATTCAAGTGTTCCCTAACGTGGTTCGAACGACAAATGTGAGTATGCGCAGTAGAGACGCGACCATGACAGGAGTGGCTTCAGAGTTATTGAATAACCAGGGCTTTGTGGCTTTCTTAACAGAGCAAACCATTGTGGAAAATGTATGTGATATTTATTATGTTATTAGGAGTACTGTTTCGATATATTTTTCATCAACAAAAGTGTTCATTGGAAACCACTGAAAATATTTCAGAATTGAGGTATTTTCCCAAATTTCCTGTTAAATTCAGCAAGAAAGGCATTCTCCTGGAATTTTGATTTTGGCTTCGTTTACGAATTAATTGAATTGAAAAAAAATACACCTCGCGAAAAGTGGAAAGTTTAGTTCAGTCAAAAAACAAGACGCAACTTCTCAACTGTTGCATCTCGCCCAAGAGCAGTCATCCAAGCAACGTGGCAACTCTTGGTTAACCTAACATTTTATTGACTTTCATCAATTCCAGAGATCTGTAACTTCTTGCCAGGTATTCTAGTTTTGGTAATTTTACTATGAAAACAAAATAGTATATGGTTTACGAGCAAGGAAAATTGACATTCCATAGGAGATGAGATTTTCTAGAATAATAACACAAAGAAAGTCATTGTCATATATCAGATACGGAAATAAAATTGATGACATACAAAGTATCTCACAGATTTATCGGACACAGTAAAACAAGATCAATTTTGTGTTATAGCTGTCGAAAAAATATATAATAGCACAAAGCGATATTGATTTACCTCAAGTTAGACATCCCAAGAATTTGTTCTTTATCTTGACACCAAATCATCCATTTTGAAAACAGTGGTACACAAATTAGTCAATAAATGTCGAATAAAATGAGTACCTACTTTACTTAAAAAATAAACAGGAAACCCGTATAAATGTTATTATGACTACAATAATCTACCCGAACTGAAGTAATATACCAAAATTCTTCAATAACCTCAAATTCACTTCCAAAAACTTCAAGAGAACACTGGACAATTGAAACTAATCCGGCTCTGTCTCAAGTCTACGTCAGACAAAATGACAGAGGTACTTTCTTACACAGTTGCCAGATGAACTGGTGAGAAATTAGAAGTTCATAACAATTCATCGATCTCTTGTCAGCCATTTGATCAATGTCAGTGAGTCTATGAATTTTGTCGCGAAAATTTTATATATGATTTTTGTGAAGCTATTGATCATCAGTTACAAGAAGTTACTACATCCAAATACATATGAGATTTGCGTATAAAAATATATATCTGACAATGTTGCCGACAATGTGCGCATGATCACCATTGCTGCAAGTACACTGGTTGTATCAGATCTCAAGATTTCTCACACATGCATTAGCCTTCTGGGTCTTTGAGTTCTGTGGATATGAAGCTTTTTTTGGTGTAATTAGATTAGGAATGATAATCGCAGTGGGTAACCATTTGTTTACTCTCATTGCACGCCACTGGGTTTTGCGAGTTTCATATCGTTTCAGATTTTATAATGAGAAATACAACTTTTTTGTCTTTTATGTATCTCCCTTAATTTTTGGGGAAACAATAAAAATTCGATATGACTGCAATTTTTACTGAGGTTCTCCCATCAAGACACCCAAAAATCTTCTGATGGCTTCTTGAACAGTTAACACTCATTTCTGTTAATGTTGAATTCATTTACGAATTAACGTACTAATTTGAGAATTACAAATTATAACCATTTATCACAAGTTATTTTTGTATAGGACACCCTGAGTATATGAGACCAAGTTAACTTGTATATAAATGACATTTGAGTGCCATATGTCAATGACTTTCAGTCGCTTCGACACAAGCATAACGCAATGATTTAGTCCAGCAGTCACAATGGCTTTATCTCGAACCCATCGCTTCCAAAGGTTCCTCACCCCAGCTCTAAATTCCGCAGCTAGAAGAACCAATACAAATGCTTCGCAAACCTCGACAGAAGGCGATCCTGAGAAGCTGAATCTAGAAGAAAAAGTCGCAGTGATAACGGGAGGAGCATCAGGAATCGGTTACGCTATCGCCAAACAGTTCCTCAAAGAAGGGATGTCTGCTCTCTCAATCATAGACATCAACAAGGAGAAGTCGGAAGAGCAAGTGAAGCTGCTAACAGAAGAATTCGGTGAAGATAAGGTTCTTTTTTCGGAAGGAGACGTTTCTGATGCGGACCAAATGGATGCTGCTTTTCGAAATACAGCTCTTCACTACCAATCGATCGACATAATAGTGAATAACGCAGGTATATTAGATGATACCCTGTGGGAGAAAGAGCTGAATACGAACCTGCGTGGTTGCGTTATAGGAACATTATTGGGAATGCAGTACATGGCCAAGTCGAGTTCTGGAGAAGGAGGAATCATTGTTAATATCGGATCCATAATGAGTGTCATACCTTCCTCTGGTTTCCCCATTTACACTATGACCCAGTCAGGGATATACGGTGAGTTGATGATCTGGATGATCTGGATGAAAAACTTGTGAGAATCTTTTGTAGGTTTCACAAGAGCTCTAGGTTCAAGTAGTCTCTATAGCAGGACAGGAGTGAAAATGCTTTGTTATTGTCCCAGCCTTACTGATACTGAGCTATTAAAGGACACCTCTGATAAATGCATCAATTACAATTTCGCTAACGAATTCCAAGAAGAAATCGCCAGTTGTACGGTCCAGAAACCAGAGAATGTGGCCAAAGGTTTAGTTAGCATTCTGGGAGAAGCTGAACCAGGGTCGATATGGATAGTCGAAAATGACCAAGATCCCTATGAAATCGAGTTCCCGGGTATAGTGAAAAAGAAGAAGATGAAGGCGGACGATGTGACTAAACAAGAACAACAAATGTGAAATACTTTATTCTGTTAGTTTTTGATTTCATGAGAAAAATGATGAACGAATTGTCCTTGAACTTGTGGAATTTGGAAGAAAACAACTAAAGAAATTGAGTTTTATATTGTCATTCATGATGGCCATTGTTATATCAGGTATATTGTGCTTGACTTCTCTAAAGGAAACACTGGCGTTAAATTCGAATATGGTGTTGTCTCCAAGCTGTAGTTTTAGCAAGATCTCCATTGACAGCATTTTGATTTGCCTACGTTGTGAGTTTGTTTTTTGGGATTAAATAAAAAGTCTCGAAAAAAGCGTAGTATGCAGCATAGCTGTGGATCGGGCAGATGGATCCTTCTAACAGATCATTGATACGAAGTGGGAACAATGTTGGTGCCAAAATGGATCCTTGTCCACCATCACATGGAGCGATCTGTCAGAAAGAAAACTCGATAGGAGAAGGCATAGCTGAGGTAGTAAGACGTATGGAGATAGTGTGTGGAGATGTCCTTGTTGCTAGACACGGTCGAATGCTTTCGATACAAAGCAAATCCCCATGGAAGTGTGAACGAACTGGATCAGAATGACGTATGCTCTGTGCTCCTAGAGGGTTCAGATAAGCTACAAGGCACTCTGTACTATAGTCCTATCCATCGCTTTCAATTTTCTTCGTTTCATCTTCACTTGTTTCCTTCTCTGCGTGTGGCTACTATTACATTATTAAAATCATGTTATTTTCTTTACTCGCACCTGGTAGGTAACAATAATTCGCCTCATCTTTTTTCCCACCGTGAGTCAACACAGCGTGTTCAATAAATAATCTAAATTCAATTTGCAATGATTGGTTCGTAATATCTCTCAGGGGGACGTGTAGCAAATAACAAATGAAGTACAAAGATTGCGCTGGCAGCTACGTAAAAAAGGGCAACTAATTATAGTAAAAAATCGAAAGCACTTACCATACAATGATCAATAAGTGAAGAGGGAACTTTTAATTACGGATGCGACCATCTCTGTTATTCAAGGTCGGCATCTCGATTGTGGTGTATAATTATCTTCGCCATTGGTGTGCAGAATTTTTCACAAGAAGACGTGTTGGAAAAACCTTGATTTTTTTCAATTTTCATTGCATAAATTGCCAGTCAAGGAATGTCTGTCGATTATGCCAGATTCCAGGGTGAAATGCCTTCAAATTGACAGTATGGTTTTACGATGGGTATGGACAGCTGTAAATTTTTCCATGTGCCAAAAGAAAACAATATGAAACAGGGTACCACCATATACGTATTAATAAACAATACGGATCATAACGGGTGCCAGGATGAAGCCAAAAATATGAAACAGATGAATATCCATAAGGATTTGGTGGCATGATACGCATGCACCAAGCGCTATTATAGTAGTCATCAAAGACATGCGTTTCGGTGGACAATGACGTTTAATAGCCTTTCAATCAAAGCAGTATGTGTCTGATCGTTTCAAAACTTTTCCTTATGGATAGTCATTTGTCTTCAAAAATCGGCTTCATGTTTCACAATGGAAACAGATAGAGATTATCCGTATTGATTATTAACACGTATGTGGGTACCACACGGTCAGAATTCACCAAATTTACCAAATTTGGATGCATAAACTTGAATTTATCTGCGGAATCTTACTTTCAGTCACACTTCCAGGATTATAATGGAACTGTTTCAGTGAAAAATGTTATTTATTGATTTAGAAGTACTAACCCTAACTAGTCCACTGTCGCGAACCGTTTTTTCTCAGAGTTGTGTAACTTCTTTGAACAATTATCGAAATTCACGATATCCATTCTCTTTTTCTGATTGACAAGTATTTATGATTGTCATTTCAATCAGAATATCGAATGAATCCTCTGGATTGAATACTTACTGCAGATAACAGAACAGAACACACAACTGAAGAATCAGATAATATAAGGATTATCTTTGAATATTCAGTTCTTTGGAAGAGTTGCTCATTAGAATTAAATTTTATACTCACAAACAGCGTATAACGAAATCATTCGCTAAAATTCTATTGGCCGCTCATTGGTATCAAATATTGTTTTACCAAGTTACTAACTTTTCTTGTTTCACACTGTATATTACGTAAAACATTGATATTCACTGGGACTTTCTACCTCTGTTCAATGGGTTACCAAACAGGAGAAATTTAGTTAGCATGATTGTATAAACAAAGTATCACTTTGAGTGCAAATAATTGTTCATTATTCTTTGAATAGTCTGTGGTTAGTTATTTTTGAGGACTCGATTGTTTGTCTTTTGAGTAAGTATGTTGCATTGAGTAATATATCCATAACCTAAAAGATGAATTTTAATAACTGGCATTACCTATATCAGTGCGGAAATCGAGGCGGACTTTTATAAAAGAACAGTCTACGCAGATATGATGATGTTTTCATTGAACTTAGCCACAAAAAGTAGGTACTCATTCTACCTCTACGTTGAAGTAGAGTCACTGGATGGTATTAGTTTTATCAAACTAATACCTGTACACAGATGGTTCGACAAGCCCTCTTGGAGTTGGAGCCGGTGTGTTCAGCAGAAAACCGAACCGGAAATTTCCGTCAATCTCGGCAAATATGCTACAATATTTCAGGCAGAGGTATTCGCAATTGAATTGTGTGCTAGAGAGTTGTCGAATGAACCTCTAGTGAACAAAAATATCAGTATTATATCAGACAGTCAGGCTGCTCTCAGAGCAGTGAACTCCAGCAAGATAAATTCCAAGCTTGTATGGAGCTGTATTGAATCCCTAGAATGCCTGGGTGCTAACAACAGAGTCACTTTGCTGTGGGTGCCTGGACACCAGGGGGTGGAGGGTAACGAGAAAGCCGACATCCTCGCCAAACAGGGAACCGAATCTGTGTTCATAGGACCAGAACCATATTTTGGGGTCACTGCAAGGCGAAAACAACTATCTCGGGCTGGGCGGAGGGAAAAACACTCATGTACTGGTCTGAATTACCAGGATTAACCCATTCGAAGGCGTTCCTGCCTAAACCATCGGAAAAAATAACCAGGCAGATCCTAGAATAGAGCAGGGGTAACCTGCGAATACTGACTGGACTGCTTACGGGACACTGTCGTCTAAGATACCACCTGGGAAGAATGGGTCTGAACCAACAAACGGACTGTCGGTTCTGTTGTGTAGAAGACGAAACGGCTGAACACATAATATTATGTTCATGCTCTAGCTTAGAAAGACTAAGGTTCGACACATTTGGCTTTACCAGTTTAGAACCTATCGATTTCAGACGAATCTCATCCAATTCAACCATGAACTCTGTAAAAAGATGTGGATTGTACGGTGAACTGTAACGTTGATTGATATATTACGCTTACGCTGGGAAGATGCCCAACCTGTGTTATTTGCGAGTCGATGCCCCGCTCATCCCCTCGTCTATCGTTTTGCCACTGTGAGGTAGCGACTCCACTAGGCACACAGAACATGTCTGAACTAATTGTACAGACTACTACAATTTGGTACAGAATTACAGATCCCATCCCAGCGCGTGCAATCGCTCCAGAAATTTTTGTTTATCCTTGTCTTCTACGATGAGACCCGACCTGCCCGACCGGTTCCGATAAAAAATGTTTGCTACGGTCGGTGAATCCCATGGACGTATATGGGGATTCCGCAATCCGCAACAATAACAACGGGTTGCGAGTATTGATTTTTCCCTCGGTTTCTTGCGGAAGAGAGAAGAACATATTATGATCTCTCACTCAGTTGGGTTCCTACTCCGTGGCGTTTTTTTAAATTCCCTTGTGAATAACTTGTCATACTTTGCCTAGACCAATATATATGTATATCTGGAAAAACATCTCACGCCTTTTTGTTGAATATTTTTTTCACTCAATTTGTATCCATGTTAAAGTTTTGTATTAATAAGACATTACAAAATATTGATAATATAATCAATCTGAATGTGATAATAATTTCTCAGAGTCTCATCAGTAGATAGTAAATAAATAGTCAGATATCTTTGAATCTTTGATTGTTGATGATTCACTATAAAAATGAAATAAAATACATCATCTTTAATTGGCATAATATACAGAGTGAGTCATAACTATTGGAACATATATAGAATTTATTTATTTATTGATTACAAGAGTTGAAGCTGCAAAGCTTATGAAACATTTTTTACAGTATCTAGTTGTTGAAAAATATGAGTTCTTTTTTGGTATATTTGAAGAGATAAAAACAAATTCAACAGAAAACAGCTACATTTCCAGTCTATATATGCCACGATATATAATCATGAAATCGGCGTTGATATTTTGTGATACCAGTAACTTTTTCTGAGTAGAATCGATTTTGCCGCTCCAGAACAACGGAGTACAGACTCCGGAACATTCAGAATCTCCGCCCTAACAACACAGCAGGGATGTTCTAGGTACGTACCCTTTTTTGTCACACGGTACAAGGACATAATTGGGGTATCCAGGGGATGTCCCGCAGTGGTTGTCCAGTGGACATCCGGCCCGGTACATCCATAGGTTATCCTTTTCGTGTCCCTGGAATATCTGCGATATCTATTCACATCAGAGTCATTGACTTTCATCAAAATATTGAGTTGAATTTCTATGAAAATGTTTGGTTTTTTTTCCGGTGAATAATTGAAATGAAAATAAAGAAAATTGTCTCAGAACTTCTCAAGAAATTACCATTTTTCGCAAACAGAAATCGTAAATGCATAATGCCCCTCATTTTTAAATATCCACGAATGATAATAATAATTATACCCAAATCCTAACAAAGTTGTATTTATTCAGGTTTCTGCAGTTCAGAAGGCATATCATTTCAATGGAGTAAGGTGCGTGCCTGATAAGATAAAGGTCCCGGGTTCAAACCCTACTCGACCTACATTTTTTTTCTTTTGTCGAAGGGATGTCCCTGGAATATCCTTGCGACCTCCTAGGGATATCCTTTCTTCGTTCTTGGTTGATATCCCAGGGACGTACCAGACGGAAATCCCTTGGATGCTTTTTTGTCAGCCAGCTGATGTCCCTGGGACGTTCCTAGTATGTACTCTTTCCCGGCAAAGGATATCTCTGGGATGTCCTTGTATAAAATTAGGGACGTCTCTGGGAAGTCCCTAGGATGTACTTGTGTTGT